AGAGTGTTTCATCAGCTTGCCATCAGTTCCAGGGTTCCCTGGGCTAAGCAGAGCCCTGCTCGCTGAAACCACACAGCACTGCCTCCGAAAAGAAACACCATCACTGCTGGAGCTGAGAATTTCAGATCAATAGATGCATTTTTCACTGGTCCTCTACTGAATCTGACCTCCTCCCATCCCTGCCCTGTTCTAACTATGGACAAGTAAGTGGTTCTCATTTGTACGTATGACTACATCTGAACATTTTTTCTTGAAATCACAAAAAAAAAAAAGAGCATTATCTATTACCTTTTTCAATAAACATAATAATTTCAGGAAGCTTTTAGCTATGACTGCGTCAAGGAACAAGCACAATGCTGTTTATTTATAGCATATTCTTGACTAACTTCAGAATCATTCCTGGTAGGCAAAGCCCTGGGAATACATACCAATCCATGGGACAAGGTGTTTATAACTGATGTTATCCTTGGGATCTGTAAAAAAATTACCAAGAAAGAGAAAATAAAATGGTAAATGTTTCAGTAGCATCAACCCACTGGTTTGCACCTGGAAGTTCCCTCTGGGCTCTCACTTTTGGTTGGGTATGAAGCAGAATTCCTGCAGAATTCATCAGTATTTCGCAACAAAACAGCACTCTTTGGCCCAGCTGCGATATAAAAGTATAAAAGCAGATGCCCAGACTAGAATAAACAAGAATATTGGTAGTCCAAAGTCTGTGCGGTGTGATAAATGATTAACCCGCCCAGACAACACTGTTTAGCACCTTTCTCTCTAGATGCACTGAAGACACAGCACCACAGCAGGAGCCAGGAGGCTGAGCTGACAAAAAAAACGCTTCCAGCTTTCTTCTCCTTGCTGGGGTCAGGCACTGAGAAGATAACTTTTCAAGGAGCACTTGAGGAAGTTTGATCTGCCAGATTTGGAGGGACCCCGGTGACAGCCGCAGCCCTGTGCTTGAAGCACCAAGGGCATGGCACGAAGGAGGGATATCTCTCCACGCCTTTAGATGATTTCTGCAAGACAACCTCTCTTCAGAAGCCCTGCCTTGCTCTGCATTTTTAGGCTGGCATGGGAAATCTGCAGGCTGTGGTTTTTGTTCCACAGCTGCAGGCATCATCTCATCTGCAGCACCTCTCCTATGAGGACAGGCTGAGAGAGCTGGGGTTGTTAAATCCAGCGAAGAGAAGGCTCCAGGGAGACCTTATAGTGGCCTTCCAGTACCTAAAGGGTGCCTACCAGAAAGCTGGGGAGGGACTCTTTACAAGGGCATGTAGTGATAGGAAGAAGGGGAATGGCTTCAAACTGGAAGAAGGTAGATTTAAATTAGACATCAGGAAGAAATTTTTCACTTTGAGGGTGGTGAGGCACTGGAACAGGTTGCCCAAAGAAGTTGTGGAAGCTCCATCCCTGAAGGTGTTCAAGGCCAGGCTGGATGGGGCTTTGAGCAACCTGGTCTTGTGGAAGGGGTCCCTGCCCATGGCAGGGGGGTTGGAACTAGGTGATCTTTAAAGTTCCTTCCAGCCTAAACCGTTCTATGATTCTATGATCTCCTCACCTCCTCTGGCCAACAGAACCTTGGCATAGTCGGGATCGGTGACAACCAGGAACGCAGAGAAACTCCCAAACCAGAGAGGGTGAGCGTATAGGTACTTCTGTGCCCAGATCTCCACCTTGTCCAGCACCTCTTCCTCCTTGAGAAACTGTAGTTGTGGGGGAACAAAAAGAGAAAGAATACTTAGATTCAGAGAAAAAACCCCAATAATCTCCCAAACCACTTTCTTGAAAAGCCCAAAGTCTTTCTGTATCACAAAACCAGGTGATCATGAACAAGGTGTTGTTCCTCTGGGTTTGCAGAGCATGAAAAGTAGAGATGCTTGTTACTTTTAAACCTCATATAAAATAACTCTTCCTTATCAATTGACCCTAACCATGGAGAACACCCTTAGGGACAGTGGTGGTGCCTATCAGCGCACATACCTGCTCTTTTTTCCATGGCCACCCCAAAGAAGACTCAGATTTGCCCCAGACAGCACTGCCGTTTTGTGGCATGCAAATATGTTCTCACTTGCACATGGCTGAGCAATCAGCACCGCGCAGTCGTGAGAAAATACAGCAGCACTTTTACAGCAGCCAACAGCATCGCTGCTGTGTCTGCCCCGGTGTAACGATGTCTCCTGACGGGGAAACTTGGGCCACAGCTTCCTCCAGCCATTGAGGTGGAGAAGGCCAGTATCCAGGTAAAATTCAACAGAATGAGACCACAGTCACCGATGGAGCGTACAGAGGAGGGAACACTGGTTAATAACATCAGATTAAGATTTCATTGATTTCCAGGAAATGAATTTAATAGGCAATGAAGAGCTGGTGCTCCCAGAAAGGTTCATCTCTGGTCCTTGGAAGCTGCATGCTGAGGAGTAACGTAAGCACCACGTATCAGCAACACTGGCAGGTTCACTCTTTGAAAGTGATCACCGTTTTATTGCTTTTCTAGCCAGTCTTGTTGTAAATAACGAAACAGTCTTGTTGGCAATAGCCAAAAAAAGAAGTGGAAAGATCAGCGGAAAGATCCAAAGTCATCAGCAGAGAAAAAAGGATCACAGAGACAAAAGTGTGTAAGAATTCTTAGAAACTACTCTGCCACAAGACGCGGGGGGAAGGATTTTGGTGAGCTAGGGCTGACATAGCTGCTGCTGCTTGGACTTGAAGCTTGAAGTTTAATTACATCTGCATACTGGTGCAGAAATGAGCCACAAAGTCACCCTATTGATTGAGTCAAGTGAATATTTGCTCAGTCGCTTTGGTGCTGAGTAACCTCAGCTCAGCTTTTAGTTTGGCGAGTGTTTCTCAACCCGGGAGGTGGCTTGTCCTCAAATAATCACCCATGTCACGCCTGTCTCGGAGAGGATGCTCAGGAGCCGCGGGGCATCTGCCAGGGGACCGCACAGGCTGAGTCCCCTTCCTCGCGAGACACGGGGGTCCCTGCAGCACATCCCACGCATCTCTCGCATTCGGCAGGATGACATCCAGTTATCCGCTACATCCGGTTATCACGTACGACAGAAAGCTATCGTTCAAACTGCTCTTCCTCAAGTTCAAGATTTTGGAGTTATTAAAGAGAACCATCAGTTCCTCTGGTTGCGGGGGAATCAAGTTTTGGGGTAAAAGGAGGCAGCCCTCCCCAGCGCCCACCCCTTCAGCAATGCCAGCAGAAGCGGGGCTTGGCACGGCACCTTTAGCTAAGTGACACCGGAACGTGTGAAAGTCCCTTTGGGACATCTGCTCGTGCTTCCTCCTGTCACAAAATCACAGAGAGCATAAATGGGAATAACTGGGAAATGCTGAGCAAGTCTCGCTGGCAGAAGCCTTAACGCTAGAAGCCTTTTGCATCCAACCTTATTTTATTTTTGGAGCGCCCGCCTTGGTTTGTGCTATCAAGAACCATCCCTGCGCTGGCAGAGGGTGGGATGGGTTTATCTGGGAGGAGAGGTTACCCCTAAGGTGAGTAACCTCTGCCTGCTGTGCTGAGCACTGCCGGGACAAAGGCTGTAAAGTCCTGCAGGCTGCGGAGCCGCAGGAATGGAAAGCTCCTGCTTCTTAACCAAGGCTCCAGCTACCAGGCTCTGCGTGAAAGACCATCACTTGTACTTCTTCCTTCCTTGGGGGCTTGAAAAGAAAAGCATAACCCCTGCTCAGGTCTAAGGAAGAAAGGTAATAGTCTGATCTCACGCTGAAATGCAAGTTTTGAAATGGATCCAGCACTAAAAGCATCCGGGAAGAGGCGCTTAAAGGCGCTTTTAATGACTATGCGCCAATAGGAAATGAAATAGAAAACACAGGAGCTGAAATCCGAGCACGAAGCTGTGTTGTGCTCGGTCAGAACCAGGCTGGCTCCCCGCCACCAGCCACCCGCCCAGGGCAAATGCGGGCAAAGGGCTACCGAGGGACCGACAGGCCCCCTGCGCCCGCGGGGCGGCTCCCTGCTCCCCTCTGCTTCCCACCAACGGTGACCTTGGGAAGGCGGTTTGGCCACCTCGGGGCTGACACTCCGGGTTTTAACTAAGTCGTGCTGCTGCAGTCAGACTGAACAGTCCTACACAACCTCTCCTGATATTTTAACGTCATTTCTACTGAAGGATTTGGATAAGCAGAGACTAATACCTAAGAATGCTTTAAAACAAAGCTATGTATTCCCAGGAGACCCACCCAAGGCATGACAAATATATGTGAGATGCTAAGCTGAACCAAAACTGGCAACTAATCACTTTAAATCAACAGAACAGGAAACGTCAGCGCTCTCCCTGAATGCAGCTCTCAGGTCCTCCTCGGAGGTGCGTGTAAACTTAGTATTCAGCATGTGCTCAGAGCACTGCCAGTTTCCTCACTGGCACAATGAACTGTTTGGCTCCGGGGAATTCAGCAGCGTTTAATCAGCAAATTCGCAAAGCAGGAATTCTTCAAAAAAAATTCCATCCAAGGCAAAAGACGAGCTGTGAACAACCTAGCCACGATGGGAGCGAGCAATGAGCACAAACAGTTAAATCCCGTTCCAGGATAACGTAGTCACAACTGACAAACAGGCTAACACACTTTATTTAATTGCAGTTTTAAAGTCTAACTGGCAGCGCAACAAAGCCCCGAACTGGCCCATCTTCATACTTAACGTTGCCAAAAGACTGACTGTCCCATCCAGCGCAGGAAAACTGGGGCTGCCACGGTACAGAGACAAGCCCTAGGAGGTCCCCTCCAGATTTCCCAGCTACTTTTCAGGGTGCCAGTTATTTAATGTGCCACAGATTTGGCCAGGGCAGGGCATCAGCAGAGCCCAGGAGAGGTCAGGGTGATTTTAAGCAGCCTTTAGCGTGTACGGAGAAGCCTTTCGCATCAGGCAGCTCAGTTACTCCTTGCGAAACTGCCAATGAGTTGTGGAGATCTGTTTGCCAAAGCAGACACGCTCATTCGTGTGGGCAAGCACATACCACGGTGAATAGTCATCCATGCCATGTATGCCCAGAACAAGTCTTGCTTATATATGCAGGCTTGGTAAGTCATGGCTTTAATGTAATCTGATAAAGACACGTGGCCCCTGTTAGGGATGCTACACCCGGGATGTGTTTTGTGGCTGAAAAGTGACACAGAACGATCGATGCCCTGTCTGGCTCACCTGGCCGTGAAGCCAATGCAAGCTGGCAAGGGAGAGAAGGTGCCTCCGGACGCTGGGATGAATGTACATCTCCTCGGGGACAGCTGCAGCGCCTGTGCCCCGACGTTCACAGGAGCAGAGAGGTGACAGCGGAGCCTGACCGGGGACACAGCAGCATGGCTCCGCTGCCTCCAGCACCAGTGCTGGCTTACCACCTTGCCCATGCCACGTTCTATCACCGCTTTCTTTACTCGTGGAGCCAACCGCCGCCTCTTCCCACCGGTGGGTTTTGCAGCAGCCTTGAGCGTGCCCTTCGCCAGGCACCGCAAGCGGAGCGAGACAAGCGGTTTGCAGGGCTGAGAAAAAAGGATGCTTACCTTTCCCTCAACCCCGGGGAGGGTGGGGGGACCAGGAGAAGCGATTCTCCTGGACCACATGGACAGGTCCCACCAGCATCATCCCCCCCACACACCAAGGGCTCCTCGGGGAAACCGCTCCCCGGGCTCCCTCCTTCCCCTCCCCAGGCAGCTCAGCCCCGTTTGTCGCCCTACCTCGTGGACGTGGCCGAAGAGCCAGTGGGTCGGGTGGCCGGGGAAGTCGGCCATCGCCCTCAGCAGCT